CAAAAATGCACTTTGCTTGATAAGAAATTCAGTTACTAGGCGGACGTGGACTGTGAATTAAAGGTTTGAGCGAAAAGACTTTACAAAGCCGCGAATGCGGTAATACGAGGCTTACTGCATTCTCAACACGACGAGGTTAAGTGGAATGCACGCTGTCGCACAACCCCGTTATGCCCAGCATGAACCAAGGGAAATAGTGTAGATAGCCACATAACGAACACTGCTAAATTTGCACGTAGTGGAATTTCGAAAGTAGCGAGTGTATTAGGCGAATTGTTTCATCCGTTTTAGTTTTGCAGTCTAATAATGTTTAATGCATTTCTAAATATAAATAATAACATGTCATAACCAAAGTACAAAAAATACAAAGTTTGCTTTCAGGTTTCCACGCAGATTTCGGAAGGTAGATCCTAACGCTTCGAATGTACCTTTCTGAAATGATAATGTGCACAAAATAAAATCCCTGTTTGTATGTAATGCAATTGTTTTGTCTTCTGCTGGCACATATGCGGGATTAGAAATGCATATTGACCAACAGACTATCAAGCTATTTGGAAGTCAGATGTCCCAAGATACGATAGACCATCAAACCATCAGACCACCCATGTCCCAAAATACGACATACCATCAGCCTGGTGGTCCTTTTTTGATAGGGCGATTGTGTTATCTCATCGCAGCTCGGAGCACGTGGAGCGAAAGCTCGCGCTGCAGAACCCAGGACTCCTGGGTTCAATCCGCACTCCTGCCCTTCTCGATTGGGATGAGGAACGTATTGGCGAGCGGTAGTGTATACCTGCTGTACGACACACGTTAGAGACCCCAGGCTGGCAGTGGTACTGAACTGACTAAATTTCTCATTTACAGCGGAGACACTAGACGCCTGTTAGGGTTAACTAACCTCGCACTGTCAAAAATACACATGTTAGCAGTGCGACTAAAAAAAGAAGGAAGGACGAAGAGGATAGGGACGCACGAGCACGGACGATACGGAACGATTTGTAACGCTTTCTGATTAAATGTTTTTGTTCTTAACTCTAACATGGCGCAGTCGACACCAACAAGAACCACAGGTACGTGTAAGCTCAGGCACACGACCCAAGCATGCATTTTATTGAACGCCTGCCAAATTAAGCCAAGACATGGCCGACTCTACAAATGATCTCGCGGAGCGCTACGAACAACTCCAAATCGTCTATGACGATCTTCAAACTGATATGTCGACGATCAAAAATCAGCTGCGTCAAAGTCAAGAACAACGTCCGACCGTGGGTTCAGTGCCGGAAACACCGGACACAGTCGCACATCTTGGGGACGCAGGAGCCAACGTTCCCATGGGCCACGAGGCAACCAGCCCAGAGCCTGCGATCCCCACCGTCACCGAGCTTCTCGCTATCATCGCAGGGACTCAGCAGCGGATCATGGAGTGCGTATGGACAAACTCACGCCCCCTCGAAGTCCACCCGACGATTGACACGTCATCCGCCATACCCATTTACAACGGAGATATAGAGACCACCGTTTCTCATTGGCTTGAAGAGGTCGATCGCGTCGCGTCTCTTGCACATTGAACGTCACCTCTCACCATGTTGATTGCGTTGACTCGACTCAGAGGAACTGCTAAGGACTGGCAGACAGCATATGGTAAATCGATCCGTGACTGGGAAACGTGGAAGCAAGCACTCCTCGAACGCTTCAAGAGGAAGATGACCATGCAAGACTTCATCGAGTACTAGGCCCAACGGAAGCTCCTGCCCAGCGAAACTTTTGTGCAATACATTTACGCCAAGAATGCAATGCTACAAAAGTCGCCGTGTGAATTAGCGCCTGAGGAGAGAATCTCACTAATCTTGCATGGCATTTCCGACGACACATGGGCGAACCCTCTGGCGTCCCACAATTGCAGGTCGGTGTTCGAACTCATCGATAGAGCAATGTGCATGGATAGCCGACGGCCACTCAAAAAGAGCAACTATGCAAACGAGGAACACGAACGGCTGTACTGGGGAACAGCTGCAAGCTTCGAAGATAATACACAATGCAACACAATTAAATGCTACAACTGTGGCAAGCCGGGGCACTTCTCAAGAGAATGTCGCATTCCGAAAACACCCGCCACCCTTCGGGCGGAAGAAAGACGCGGCGCACACAGTCTTACGACGTCATCTCCAAGACGTTTTGAGCAAAGTGGTGACGAACGCCGAAGCCGTACCACCATGTCAAGAAACGTTCATTGCTTCCTACGTACTATCGGGGGAAAATGAAATGCGAACAGAGGAGCGCGTGGCTCGCGGTACAGGCTGCGCCGCCTGGAAGTGAGCCTAGAAGCGAGGGTGCGTGGCCTACTCCGACATGTTCACGCCTGTCCCTCTGCGCTCCCCAAGCTTCGGCAGTGCGCCTCTTAGTGCGCTGAAAGCTATCACCGCTATCTTTGCTGGCTCAGCGCGTGCGGTGCAAAGAAGCTCGCCGCACTCGCCGAGTAGGCAAAGATAGCGGTGGCAGCTTTCAGCGCACTGAGAGGCGCACTGCCGAAGCTGCGGGAGCGCCAATAGAGGGGCGTGAACACATCGGAGTAGGCCACGCACCCTCGCCCCTAGGTTCACTTCCAGGCGGCGCAGCCTGTACCGCGAGCCACGCGCTCCTCTGTTCGCATTTTATTTTTCCCCGATAGTACAAGCGGGGACGACCTACCCATTGTTCATGGCACAATTGGCTCAAACACAACTGTGAAGGTATGCATCGACACGGGCGCAAACGTCTCAATCATTCGCTCTGAAGCCATTCCGCCCAACTCCAGCGTCACCGTTCATTCCAATAGATCTGAGATAAACGTTCTTGGAACACGACTAAGACCAGAAAAAGTCACAGCTTTGACTATCACGGTAGGCACTACTCAGGTTTGGCTACCCGAATTGTTCGTCACGGAACTACCTGCTCCTATCGACATCCTTCTTGGATCAGATTGGAGACAACTTGCCAACGTAGATGTTACATTTGACCCCAGCCACGATGTTACAGTAGTTCAACTGCCTCAAGGAAACACGCTTGAACGTTGCAGTCCAGGCACATCAAGTGAGCTAACGGGTGAAACACTCATTGCATCGTTTTGACAACGCGAGCTTTTTATTGGCACAGCTCCTGTGCATGAGACGAAGCACGGCGATAGATTTGTGAAGCTAGAAACACGAGCGAGTGCCCCAGACACCGAACTTATCGAGCACATCGAAATGGCCGTCAAAGAAATGACTCAAGATGCATCGGTCGATCAGCGGAACCAGCTTCGTCAAATTCTACTGACACATCACTCAGCCTTTGTCGATGGCGAGAATAAAATAGGGCTATGCCCCCATTCTGAACATTCAATTGATCTCAGAGACAATATACCAGTCACATCTCGCCCGTATAGACGCTCTCCTGCTGATCGCCAGTTTCTCAAAAAGGAAGTCAATGATCTACTACAAAAGGGCCTCATAAGAGAAAGTGATAACGAATACGCATCTCCAACGATTGTGGTGGATCAACCGCATCACACCATGACACCTCGACGAATGGTGCATGACTATCGTAAGCTGAACGCAAAAACGATTAACACTCCTTACCCAATGCCAATCATCGAAGATGTTCTTAGTGACGTGATGTCCGAAGAAGCGAAGTACTTTACAGTCATGGATGTAAAGTCTGCCTTTCTGACCATACGGGTTAAACAAAGCGATGTACACAAAACCGCATTTGTTACCCCCGACGGAAAATATGAGTACCTGCGAATGGCATTTGGTTTCTGCAAAGCACCACAGACGATGCAAACTGTGATGCGTCGCAGCTTCGATGGGCTGCCCCGCACCGCAACTTACATGGACGATATTGGTCAAGGGGCCTCTTCAGTCGATGAATCTCTTACTCTACTGGAGGAGGCGCTAAAGCTGTCATAACAAACGGGCTCCGTATGAACATCAGGAAAAGCCAATTCGTCTCTTCCAGAGTAATCTTTCTCGGTTACGTCATCATGAAAAAAGGGAGAGTTCCAGATTCCTCACGAGTTGCATCGATCGATAAATTTGAACCTTCGCAAAGCAAGAAAAAGCTCTACGCGTTCCTACAGTTTGAAAGTTACTTCCGAAGGTTCATTAGTAACTTCTCTCCCATCACGTCCCCTCTACGTGCCTTGCTGGCTCGTGACACTGATTTCATCTGGACTGAAATTCACGAGAAGATCGTCAATGACGTGAAGAGAACTTCTACAAGTCCTCCAATAATCGCAAACTTCAGGTACGGATGCCCAACAATAATTTATATCGACGCCAGTCAAGCTGGTCTGGGAGCGGTACTCGTCCAAGTTCAAGAAGAGAGAGAACGAGTAATCGAGTATGCAAGCCACAGTCTCAATGAGCAGGACTCGAAGCTCCATTCAAACACTCTCGAATGTTTGGCTCTCCATTGGGCCGTCACCGAAAAATTCGCCATTTTTGTTCGCGGAGGAACTCGATTCACGGTTGTCACGGACAACATGAGCCTCACGTACCTCGTAAAACAAGGTGCAATCAACCGCAGGTTCGCCAGGTGGACACTCGATTTAGCGGAATACGAATTCGATCTTGTACACCGATCTAGAAAGCTCAACGGAGCAGCAGACGCGATGTCACGACTTGACATGCCGGACAGAGACCTGGAAGGCCTCATCAACAACGAGGCGGCTGGATGCACACTCAAGTGCTTGGCGATTGTGCTGAGTCAGGACTCCCGCCTCAGGATTTTCCAGACGTCTGATCCGGAATGCCAACGACTTAAACTACTACAAAACAAATAGAACAGTCTCTTCGAAACTGACAACTGGATCCTCGTACGAAAACTGATCCGCTGTGGACGACAAATCACGCGAATCGTGGTACCTCTCGCGTTGCGCGACATTGTAATGTCTATGTGCCATGATAAGGTCGGACATATGGACACAAGAAAAACGTCAGATCAGGTTTCGAAGCGCTACTGGTGGCCGTCCGTGACCAAGGATGTCGCACGGTATGTTCGATTGTGTCAAATGTAGGCAAATAAATCGCCGCACAACTGCCAAGGAAGGATGCCTTAACCCAAGAGACATTCCCGACGAACCAAACAAAGTGATCTCGCTTGATCATTTCGGACCAATGATGGAGAAAGAAGGAAATACCCACGTTTCGGTATGTATTGTCCACGCTACACTCTACGTCGACGCATCAGCTGTCCCCAGCACGGCTTTCATCCACTACATCAACTTCCTGACGAAGAGATGGATTCCCAGGTTTGGGGTACCGGATATAATCATCCCAGACCAAGCAAGAGGATTTGTGAACCGAAACACGAAAAGAATTCATCGACGTCTTGGTGTGACACACACCACACCTTTACCATATTGGCCGGAAGCCAACGGTATTATCGAAAGAATGGTAGGAACAATCAAACAAGTCCAACGAAAACTTGTGGACAATCGTCTCGACTGGCATATCGCGGTGCAAGATGCAATAACCGCCGTTAACGTCACGAGACAGAGCTCAACGCGATACAGCCCTTTCTGGCTAATGCACGGGTATGATCCAAAACTTCCAGGCGACCTAAACATTGGAAGCGTTGATCAAGACATCACAGAAACCGAAAGGTTGCTCAACTTTGAAAGGAGTCGATGCGCTGCGAAGCAAAATTTGGAAAATAGCCAGACGCTGGCGAAAGCCCGGTGCGAAACCGACGTGAAGGCACCTTGTTTTAACGTCGGTGGCTTCGTACCTTGGACTCTCTATTTGAAGAACCGTACGAAATCACAGAATTCAAAGACAGCAATACTGTGTTGCTGAAAAGAGCCGTCCCCATAGACGGCAGATCCAACTCAAGACTAGCTAATTTAAAACAGTTACGAAGATTCGTCGCAAGAGATATCGAGCCAGTCGGGCTATCACACACTATAATAGGACACGCGCTAGCAAACCAAGTGGAAACAGAATCGCTGCAAAACACGCTCAACTTTCCAGAGGGATCTCCCGAAGGCGTTGAAGAACCAGCTGGTACAGCGCACAGCGGAGATGAATTGGACGCAGCAACTCAGAATGTAACATCAACACGTATGCCAAGGGAACGAAGGCCTCAAGCATACCTCCGAGACTATATCACAAATTGAAGTGACGTGCAGACTTGAGTTGAGGACAATTCAAACTTTAAAGTGGGGCTTGTTAGCAGTGCAAGTAAAAAAAAAGAAGGAGGGACGAAGAGGATAGGGACGCACGAGCACGGACGATACGGAACGATTTGTAACGCTTTCTGATTAAATGTTTTTTTTCTTAACTCTAACACACACAACAGAATATTTCTTAGAATTCACACAAAATTGATATATTTTTCATTTGCTTTTTCGTATGGAAGCCTATCAATAGTGGCATCGCAGATAGCAGATAAGAAATGACCAAGCCATAAATTAACAAACTGAAGAATCATTGAAGCAACAGACCTATTCCTAAATTTCCGAAGCATCAACGAGAAAGGGTGGGAATGTGGAAAAAAGAAGAAGTCTGTTAGTATCGGAATTGCTACTTTCTACGCTGCTCGAATTTTCAAATATGTTTTGTGGAAAATAAGCCACTCCCTGTCGACCACTGCCGCTCCAGAAGCTCGCGGCCACCTACTCGGTCCCTGGAACCCAATGGTAGTACCCGGAGGCTTTCTCGGACTCCACAACTTTGATATATGACTCACTTAGACAAGCCTGGAACAAGCGGTAACGCTTTGTCTCAATGCCGTAAGAAAGATGCATTGACCGTAGATAATCTGCGTCCAGGCAACCCAGTGAAACGTAGAAAAGAAAGAGAAGATGAAGACAATGAAAGCGTCTCTTCAGAATCTACGATCGTCGCCGACGATAGTGACACTGGTGACCTAATGGATGACAACGAAGATTACTTCATCCTCGTGGAACATCGCCACAAAAGAAGCACTGGCGTGCCAGTTCTCCTGACTCCAAAGGATGAGACTTGCCGCCTACAGCAACAAAACCCTTTGCACCTCAGCTGCACGATCAGCGCAGCAACAGGTGGGAAACTACTGCGCTACCATTTCACGGCACGGGGAGGTCTCCATGTGAAGGTCGCCGAACCGGAAGCAGTCAGACAATTGTTAAAAGTGAAGTATCTGTGTGGCATTGAAGTTCAAGCTTCCGTGTCCACAACATATCTACAAAATCCCGGACTCATCAAGGGTGTTCCCGAGTGGTACTCCGACGCTCAGCTGTTAGATTACCTTGCGCCAGAGGGAGCGATTGCTGTCCGACGTCTCTTTCATCAACTTGGTCAGCCTGGGGCCGCAGCTACTGCAACGGACAAAGTTCTCCTAACCTTCCGTCCAAACACTGAAAGACCAAGCCAGATAAATCTTGGCTTCACTAAACATGACGTAGTGAAGCACCTAGTGGCCCCACCACGCTGCTTCCAGCGCCAAGCCATAGGACACGTAGCAAACTACTGCAAAGGGGAAACAAATTGTAAGAAATGTGGAGGTCCCCACGACATAACATCTTGCCGCAAGCTACGTTAACTGTGAGGTTCGACTTGCAGCACTGGCACGCACTAAAGCATTCCTTTCTGGACCAAACCCACAGCAGCAGGAAGTTAATTTTTCAGCAGGTCCAGATGACTTCCCACTGCTTTTCCCGATTCAAAACGCCTCGTCAGAGACACCAACTATCTCCCAGCCTTGTAAACCAAGAAATAACTCACGGAGGAAGTCAAAGAAGCCTGGAGCAAAAAGTTACTGAGCCGCTCTTTCAGACGTACGTCCGAACGACCGCGACGTTATACCATCAAAAGAGATCATGACACCTGTAGGTCCGAGGACCTTCACCAGCGTCGGAACAAGTAATTACACTGAGGAATCAAAGGTGATTAAAGCTTCTCCGGCAAGCACAACACTTCCTGAGCGTGGGGATGCCTCTAAGAGTCCCAAGATGACAATCGTAAAATCAGTATTCGCAACTATCATGAAAGTCATGGAAGGTCTACCAGCCGGAAAGCTCAAAACGGCCCTTAAGGGCATATTGTGCCTAGAAGCCCTTCTTGCATTATAATCAAGAAAATGAATTGTCGCAACCGGCAACTTCGAGAAAATACACTTCCGACAATGTAAGACAGAAACACTGCAGGCACAGATTACAAATCAATATGACTGTTAAACAAGAATACCCAACAATACTCCAATGGAACTGCAGAGGTCTGTTTTCAAAATTCTCCGAAATCAAATTATATATCCAACTGTCGCCAATATCAGTTTCGGCTTTTTCTGAGGCTGGCCTTCGGAGTGGTTGCTCCTTATCCGGGTACAAGACTTACACGTGCCCGTCAATTTCGACTTTCGCGAATGGGAGCGCAGCCCGTTTTATACGCTGAGAGCTTCCCTAGTGTCAAATCCCAACCACCGATTTATGTACGGAGGACGCAGAATTTGTGGCAGCTAAGGTACGCATTGGAAAAAAAAAAACGGCACTTGTTGTCTCTCTATACATACGCCGCGGAAGCTACACTGACATGTTCGAACACGTCCAAAGCTGGTGTCTACAACATCGCCAAGACCTTATCATATGCGGAGACTTCAACGCGCATCATAAAATGTGGGGCAACGTACGATCAGATCGCAGAGAAAGGAAACTCGAAGAACTTTTCGATGAAGCAGGACTTGTGGTGGCAAATACGGGCAGTCCGACATACTTGCGAAAACCATCAATATTTTCAGCGATAGATATTACAGCGCATGATCCAGCCCTCAACGTTACATGGTCCACAGCACATGATACAATGGGAAGGACCATTTTCCTATTTGGATTCGGATCAGGGGTTGTTACAACACTAAAAAGAAAGTATGTCATGTTATCGACTGGGAAACGTTTCACTTCATACTTGACTCTACAAACGATGATATCATTGATGCAATCAAGGCAGCACTAAGAAACAGCACAAAAACTATTCGATTACCAGAAGACTTCCCATCCCCGGACTTACAGCTCCTGAATCTCTCCGCAGCTCGTCGCATGGGCACAGATTCGCTACCGACGACACCCAATTCTTGAGAACAAGATAAATTTCAACGGAATGTCTTCAGTCTTCAAGAGGTACTGTAGTATCGGCCAAAGGAACGCGGCCGAGCAAGCGACCCGAGCCAGCCGGTAGCAAACACGCAGTAGTCGTATTCCGTGGTTTTCTGCCTGCTCGACTCAAGCAGCGCAATCTTTTATTGGCATCATGACGTCAGCGTTTCAGCAACAAAACAAAACATACAAGAGTTGACAAGGTTGCCGAAGCGATACAACATCTCTCCCCCCTTGGAAAAAGTTAACTTCAATGCAACATCTAACTTCCACGCAATGTTAACTTCAATCAAAGTAATGTCTATTCCTTGGCGTACTCTTGAAGCCATGCTGGTTGTTGCCACTCTCGAGTTGACTTCCTCGGTAGCGGCCGGCTTTGATCTTCCCCCAGCACTTGCTCCTCTACAGGCTCTCCTTCGCTATCCAGGGGTGTCTCAAGCTGCTACACGTTTTAGCCCTCATCTGAAACTTCGGAAGCACTAAAATCTCTCGATACGTTTGTCGAGGGAGATGACATGGGCTTGACTGGACTCTGCGTATCACCTGCAGGCATCCGCGGTACACATGACAACTTTGAAGCGTTCCACGTGTGGTGATCTTCAAGAATAAAAGAACTTGGACCCTTCTGTCCCACAATTTTTAGCGGCTCATTGTAAGACAGGTCAGCTTCCTTGGCGATAGTGGATTTCTTCACTCTCACAGAGTCGCCTGGACGAAACTTTGAAGTCTCCGCACCTCTCTTTCGTTCCGTATACTCCTTGCTGTATTTCTGCTTATCTTCACTCGCTCTCGTAGTTTGGCCATCTCTGAACTGGGGTCACCAAAGAATCTTGGGCTAGGCCACCCAACGATGTCCAGCATGGTCCGTGGGGCACGACCGTGCAGCAGTACAGCCGGTGGCATACCTGTCGCTGCCTGGAGCGTACTCCGATAAACAGCAAGGTACTCCAGTACCGCAGTTTCTAGGGGACGCTGCTCCAATGATGCAAGCTGAACGAAGTCCTTCTGCACCTTATTGAAGCGCTCTATTTGCCCGTTACTCTGGGTGTAGTAAATGAAGGAACAGGAGTGCTTAATCCCTCGCTGTCGAAGGAAATCTTCGAACGTATTTGACGTCAGTTGTGGTTCATGGTCGGTCACCAGTTCGTCGGGGTATCCTTCACGGCTGAAGACCGCTGTCAGGAACTTCATCACCGTTTCCGATGTCACGTTCGAGACGAAACATACCTCTGGCCACTTTGAGTAAAAGTCTATTAATGTTATTGCAAACTTGCAACTCTCCTTGGCCCTTCCGAAGGGCCCGACGATATCCAACGCCAGCTTTTGCCAAGCACGTTCAGGCCATGGAATTGGCTGCAGGGGTGCCACTGCAGGTTTGGCGGATTTGTTGGCCGACTGACAAATACTGCAACAGTTGATTGATTGCTCCACTCGCTTATTAAGTCCCGGCCACCAATACTGGTTACGAAGTCTCTGTTTGGTACGAACAATGCCAGGATGGCCTTCATGCGCAGCTTCCAGTAGCTTGGAGGTCAGTGAGACCGGAATTACCAAGCGCTCGCCCCGCAGCAGGAGATCACCCATGACCGCAAGTTCCTCTCGGACATGGTAGAAGGGTAGAAGCTCAGAGCTGAGGTTGCGTTTCGAAGGCCACTGTGTTTTGACGAAGGACATTACCAGTTGAAGCATGGAGTCCGACTTGACCGCTTCCTGTAGTTGCTGTTTCGTCGC